CCCAGAGAGGGCTGCTCCCAGCACCCCCCCAGCCTCAGTCAGGCACACTAACCTTCCTTTTTGCTACTTTTCTTACAGCTAAACCCACCATCAGCTGTGCTGAGGGGTTTTTCTGGGGGGTGAGTTATTATATTTATCTGCCCTTGAATTTTCCCTATCTTTAACTCAGGCTAGAAAACAACTGCCCACACTCCACCTTCCCTGGCCATGCAGTGAGGCTCTGGATGATCATGCCCTCCACCGAAGTGCTCCATGAAGCCACAGACCCAGGAAAAGGCTAAAACCAGCATCCAGCCCCACCAGCAAGCCGAGCCCCTCCGTCACCCCCTAAAAAAAAGCAGACAGCAATGCATAACCCAGCCGGGAAAAGCAGCAGCAAGCTTACCGAGCCACAGCGCCGATGGCTACCCGTGGAGTCAGCCAGCACTGATTTCCTCCCACTGCTGCCCACTGGGATATAAGGTCTATTTTTGCCCCCCGCCCCCCCTGCCCCGGCCAGTCACCGCCCTGTCCAGAGTGACGCCAGCCTGCCAGTGTGCACCAGAAAGCCCCCGAACTTCAGCACTGGCAGATCTGGTGCACAAACATAGTGGCCGCACTGCTGCCAAACCCGGGGAGGTTTGCACCGTGCCGCTTAATTGAGGGTCTGGCCTCAGAGCAACGGCCAGAGAAGGCCAGAGGGTATAATAATACTGTGGGTTTAAATTAAAATAAATATTGGGAAATCTGTTCTCAGGGGGTGTCTGCCTCTCTTTTTGGGAAATTCTGTCAGTGTTTTTTCAAGCAGACAAAAAAGACCAACCTCAAAGGCCTGGCTCCACAGGCACTTGGGCATAGCCATTAAGACAAAAAAAGGCTAAATCCTAACAAATCCCTCTCCAGGCCGCCTGCAAAGGTGAAACGCGCCTAAGGAAGGGCAGGGAAAGAAAAGGAGATTCGGGTACAGGTGTTACCAGTCCCCCTTTGAAAGCCATTCTGCCACAATGATGCTACAGAATGCAGGTCTGTTTCATTTCTTACACCCCCTGAACCACGCAGACCCGTGCAGGGGCCAGCCTGGCTCTGTAAAGTCAGGTATTCCCCGGCTGAAACCTGGTGGCTCTGTACATGTCCCCAGCAAAGTGCAACAACTGCCTGGGGCAAAAAAGATGCAAAAAACCCACCCTAACGGCCACCCAAAGCTCAGCAGGGACCTTGGCGGCAGGATAGTCAGTGGTCGGCAAGCTCCTGCCCTGCACCTGATGGCAGGGATGGGGGCACATGGGTGCTGCAGCTGCCCCCTGGCAGTCACCTCTGCAGAGACATCCTTCCCCTGTATTTACTATTTCCTGCTGGGATTTCAGCCGCCCATCTCTCCAGTGCACCTCTGCTCCCCCTTTCCCAGATTTTTCTTGCACGAGTGATGCGCTGATGATGGCAAAGGCCCCTTGCTGCTCCTGCACGCACCCGGGCTGCAGCAGCTCAGGGGAATGACTCCTCACCAAATGCAGCTTTGCTTTCCACCACAGCAAGGAGAATTGCAAATCCCACCTGATGCCTTCAGCCCTACAACCCTCAGAGGGAATGGCAGTGCTGGAAAATGTAGGCTTTCAAGCAGGTTTATTGACCATCAGGTTTACCAGTGATCAAACTCTGGTTATTTAGGGCAGAAAAATCCTCTTTGCAGTGGAAGACTTGAATGTTCATGTTTCTGCTCAAAAATCAGAGGCTGAAAGCCTCACCCACATCCAGGGGAGCCCAGTTTGAGTCTGAATTTGATTAGGAAGCAAAAGATTTGCAGTTAATCAAATTCCCAGGTTAGGACTAGGAAGACAAAGCACTTTTGCTGTTGTTGTCATTTTGTCTTATTTTGCTCATCACCACATCAACAGGTACATGGTAGAGAGCTGCTAATTGCTGGCCAAACACCATGCACATCACATACATGCTTTTGGGGAAGGAGAGGTCCCTTGCAGCCCCCCTGGGGGCTGGGGTCCACCAGCCTTGGTATCAATCCAGGCCATGCGCCCACTATGGAAACCCTGGGGCTACAGGGCTCAGCCGTGCCTGCCCCATGGGCTTCAAAGCCCATTGTGTCACTGTGGAGAGCTGTAATTACAAGGAAGGCTGGAGCTGGCCACGGCTTTCGGCTGGCGCCTCGGGCCAGGAAAACCCACACACACCAAAAAAAAGAAAAGAAGGGAAAAAAACGGAGCTACGCAGTTTTCCTATGCCAACACAGCAGCCTACTGTAAAGAGAGGCACCAGCATCACGAGGGGCTCAGCAGCCCCCATCCCCATGGGGCTGGGGTGGCTGGAGGGGTGATGGGGGGCAGAGGACAGAGGCTGCCCTGTGTGGGAGAGCAGCAAGGACATGCCCAGCTTTGAGCTTGAATTTCATCAGGGATGAGGAACAGAGAGTGCTGGTGGGAGGCAATTTCTAATGTAATTAAAGGGCTGCTGCTGTAGGGTGCTTAAAAAAAAAAAAAAAAAAAAGAGAACTGACTATAAAAAAATGTGTATTTCACCCAAGATCCCTAAAAAGCACCTAGAAAGGATAATTAACGTGTGCTGAAGTGCCTCCTGTGGCCAGCACCTATGTTTAGCCCCTGGGCCAGGGAGCCGGTGCTGCCTGTGCTGGCCACCAGCAGCAGCAGCCTCACAGCACCATGCAAGGACAACAGCAGGGAAGCTGGACAAACACATCCAAAATGTTCCCATTTAAAAGAATAATAATAAATACATTTTAAAAGGCGTCACATCTCGGAGCTGGAGCAGCTTCATGAAAATAACCATGTCTTTCCAGATAAACAGCTGGAAACAAAACATGGAACAGCTCACCTGCCTCCAGGGGATGTGCCAACTGTGACAGTAGCAAAACCCCATTTTTTGGGGCCACATTTTGATCACAGGCAGGAGTGTTGATCTGCTGGAGGGTAGGAAGGCTCTGCAGAGGGATCTGGACAGGCTGGGTTAGGGGGCTTCGGGCCAGGGGTCT